GTCATCTTCCACACATGCTTCCTCTCCCTTTCCCCCCATCATTTCAATAACAGCATTTTACATTTAACGTATGACCTGTCTAGCCCTGGGTAGACCTGATAGCAATTCTGACAGACATTGCTGTTTTACTTTTTGTACAGATGTGGGCCCAAATTCTGGGTGCCCAGAGAGATTGTGCATAGGGCTGAAGAAGGTGCACCTTTGGGCACACAGAAGAAAGCCCTGACTAAGCAGGCAGACCTTTTCTACTCAGGAAGCACATCCAAACCCGGCTAATTAAAAGGCTGATGTATTGCAGGGGTCCATTTTAATGCCAACTCCCAGGTTAAGGTCAGTGCAAATCGCACACCAGAGGAGTCACTACTCTTTACTGCCTTGGTAGAAGTGGCTGGCACAGAGACCCACATCTCCAGCACGGGACTGCCATGTGCCTCTCTGCAGTTCATCCCCTTGGATGCTGCAACCACAACGATTAAATGCTCCAAAATCAGTCACAAATCCATATGAAAACACCTATGTGCCCTTTCTTATCTATAGATAAAAATTCTTATAAGCATTTCTTCAGCTTTCTGCAGGACTGAATTCTCATTTACCTGCTTGAAACACCAAAGAAAAGCAGAAAGCCAGCTTACAGAGAGAACAGTTCAACCAGAGGACAATGTCATCAAGGCAGAAATGTGTTAACTATTTAATGCAACAACACAAACCAGACTGCTTCATGACCAGAGTGATCAGCCAAGGGACAACACGAGGCTAATGCCGGAAGAAGTTAATAAAACTTGACTTCCAAAGATACAGTTAGGAAGAAATACATTTTCTTAGTTTGCAATTACTGGCAAGATTTAATGTTTCACACACCTTAAGACATGCTGTACAGTGGGCTTTTTTCCTTGTCTTACCACAGTGCTAGTAACACAATCTGTTTGTTCGGAGGCCTCCTACTTCTTTCCCCTCAAGAATGGGGGAATAAAGAAACGTTGTGCAAAACGTCTGAAGCGTGACAGCTCACCAGTCAACACCCTGCTAATACTCTAGCTGCACTTCAGCACACAGATTGCACAAAGCTCTCCAAACCTTTCTAATTGCTTTCTTTCCCAACTTTCATTTAATTCAAGCAAGAATTTTCTAACAGAGGTTTGGGATTGGTTTTTGTATCACAACTGCTTTCCCATTGCAGATGTTGGGACGCCACAAGTCACAGTGACTGGAAATCTGTGTTCTCTAGGGTAGGTCACTGGAGAAGCTACTTATTTTCTGTAGCATACAAGATTGTAATGGCAGTGCTTAGGAACAGTGGGATTCCCAACACTTTCATTTCTGCCTCAGCTGGGAGATGGAACAATGGACAGATTTCTTCTCATATCACCCTTGCCAAAGCAACACACTGGAGCGAATGTGGTTTTCATTTATCTCACTGGGAGTTTTAAGGTATTTGGGAATATAAGAAAATCCATCACCTTTCAGGGATGGAAAGTCATTTTCTGACTCGTAAAGAGTTTATTTGAATCCCCACTCACATGTAAGATTGTAATTCAGTGAACATACTGAACAGTGGTTTTTTTTTGTTGTTGTTGTTGGTTTTTTTTTTAAGATTGAAAAACTCACTATTTCACAATGTTTCTTCTTCCAAATAGTTAATCAATTCTCTGTCTACATTAATATAGTCTCTCTCAACACCATCCAAGATTGCATACAGGTTAAACACTACATATGGTCATGTTCTAGGGCCAAACTGAACCACACAAACAGAATGCCCAGACTAAGACCCTCTATCCAGCAGTGACCAAAAATTAATGACAATCAGAGCATATAAGAAAAGGATAAGATGGTACTTTTTTTCCTTGTTTCTAGCTACCAGGTTGGATGTGGTTTCTGCATATTTAGTAGCCTGTATATCTTTTTTGTTTGTTTTCTTGTTTTGTTTTTTATTTTATTTTTTTAAATAGACCAGAAAACCCTCTTCGAGCCTGCATAAACTTTAAGCACAGACACAACATTCTACAGAACAAGCTCCCCAGATCAGTTATCTGTTGCAAGCCACATCCTTGGCTTGTTTTGAACCTGTTATCCTCTTAGATTTTTCTCATATTCTTCAATTTCTGTATGCTCCCCTCCTCTACACAATCACAGACACAGAGACCTCCTTCCTAGCCTCGGTCACCTAATTTAAATTAAAAGCATTGTATGGGCTGAAAAAATCTGACCTCTTTAGCCAATACTTTTTCAAACCCAACCATAACTCACATCTACCCCTACTCTTTGCCACTCTCTAATAATCCTTGACAGCTTTGGGACACACTGTACCTGTACAGCCCAACACCTGATGCAGAAACCTTGCAAGAGTTAACAACACTCCTTGGGGTTCATCCTATGCCAGGCAAGACCCCAACTCCAGATCTAACCTCATATATTTCACAACGACTGCCACACACTTCCAAACTATTTTTTTATTCCATTTGTTGTCATCAGCCTTCTTCCTAGCCCTATAGACTTGGCAAAGTCTTAACATAACTTTCAGTCCTGCTGAAAACCATAACATTTACCCTGGCAAGGCATGCACAGTAACCACATTTCCAGCTCAGTGCAAACGAAGACTTGTGCTTGCAAGCAGAAACCTCCATTTGTGCTGTCTGATTTTCAGACTTACAACTCCTCTGCTGCCTGAGCCACTAACCCTTATTTCAGCCGTACTTCAGGCATTAGCAGCCACCTCAACACTGGCCTTGCTTTTGGCTTCATGGGCTTTGTCTTTTTTATCACGTAACATTCTCAGTCTCCAGTCCCAGGTGAACTTGAAGCCACTTGGCCTCATACTGTAACCCCATTACCATACTCCATCCAGCCTCAGAGCTGCTGCAAATCTTGATACCAAACCTAACTTACCTACTTTTACAACTCACCCAAACTGCAAATAACATCCTGGCTTTACCCTCAGTACTATGAGCTGCCTTCAAAACCTCACTAAAGCTTCTCACACCAACTTCCCATATCCTGCTGTTGCAGGTGTCCACAACTAAGGATCGCACGCTGTTCAGCAGCTTCCCCAAGGCTGGACCATAACAAAAAACTCTCCTATGTGACGGGACACCCACCAGCCAGGCAAGTGACCACGCATACCAACACCTACCTGGATCTTGAATATCCTCAAGCATCTTCAAGGATCTTGAATATCCTAGACCCTAAGTTAATGTCACCCCTAACACCAGGGCCACCATGTTTTATCACCTCCAAATCCACCCTCAAGCATTTTACTGTTTTAACACCTCCTATTTCTACCCTGTTGAAATACAAGGCATTAAAAGCAATCTCTTCTCTTCTGCCTCCTCCTTTCCTGCACCTAAGCTGAATGCCAGGGATGGGTTTTCTGGATGGAAGATACAGGTTTCTACGGAAGTTGGCTGAAGTGAGGGTTAGGATCAAGCTCAGAAGACATGGAAGAGCCAGGCTAACTGCAAGGCTTTAGAATCCCTCCAGAGAAACAATAATGGTTTTCACTTGGAAGGGTTTCTGCAGTGACTTTTCATGATGTTTGGTGCAGACAAGTTGCTGGACTGCAGGTGAGGCCAGGGCTGCTGCTGGGGCCAGTGCAGAGGTCAGCCAGCAGCACTCTCACTTGTCCTTCACAGGGCTGTTAATAAAAACAGTCACTGTTTCATACCCCAAGAAGCTTAGCTTTGGGGTTTAAAAACCTTCCCCAGTCACTGGATGATATAAAGAGACAAACACCCAAAAGACATTTGCAGCACAAAATAAGGAATTGGAATCAGCCCAGGATCACTTAGGACTTGATGACCCCCGTCTTAGCATAAACATATCAAAAAGGGACAGCAGCAAAACCTTCACGCTGTGCAGCACAGAGTCTGGTATTAACGACTCTGCCAGAAATGCTGTGAACAGATCAGAGCTTTCTAAATCAGACAACTTGCTTCCTGGAAGCACTTTTAGCCTTGATGGTAATAGGAGCTGTTGTCACATTATCATAAAGGTCTCCCAAATGAGATCCAGCCCGACTCTGCAGCAGATGTTGAATAAGAATTTCTTGATCTTAACCTGTGTCTCAGCTGCAATTCTACTGCTAGAATTAGGAGCCAATGAAGCCAGAAAATGACAGAAAAGGACCATTCTTGTTTCACTTACGACACCAGGAATTTCCTCCAGAAGCCTCCAAAGAGTCTTTCCCCAGTTTAGTAGCAAACCACAACAATCAGTTATGCACGTGGCCCTGTCTTAAGAGGAAGCCAACTTCCCAACACTTTCTTGGAGCACTGGTCTGGCTAGGTCTGGAGGGAAGAGCTAAATAGCAGAAACTAATACCCTGCAGGTCAGGTCCAGCAGAGACAGAGGGATGTGGCATCAGCCCACCTAACCATACAGCAGGTCGCTGGCAAGGAAAAAAAAATCATTTTGTGTCAAGTTTAAGTATTTATGTATCTTTAGAAAAAAAAGAAAAGTGGTGATAAAATAACAGAATAAAAATCTGTTAACACAAATTTCAAGTTCCTTGTTTTTATTACATATGGCAGCCCATCCTATGCTCAGCCAGAACTGTGCACCAGCAGGGCAGTACCACATGCCACCAGGATCCCACCTTCTACCTTCACAGTCCTGATCAGTCACCCCTCTTACACAAACTTCAGCTGAAGCTAAAACTCTAAATACTTGCATCCAGGAACAGCCAGTTTTAACATTTAGGCCTCAGTCACTGGGCTTTCCAGTCCCATGCTCAGACAACGGAACTATACACTTGGGGCTTTGCATAAAAATAAATCCAGAATTTTCAGTAAGAAAGGATGTAACAGAACTCTCCAGGAACTGGAACACGCTTTGGGGTTCAAATAACGCTGATTGTTTTCTATTCTAAACAGAGCAATAAGGAGAAGTAATTAAGTTAAGACAACAAAACAAGCCTTCTCATTTACCATCTGTAAAACATTTTACTGCAAGGAAAAAATAATGCCATGACAACAGTTTTGAAAACTTTTGTTTGATTAGTGGTGTACCTCGTCAGCAGATAGGGTGAGAATGAAGCTGGATTGTCCTGTTCTGAAAACATTGGCATGGATCCTCCCATTATCCAGAGGCGGAAATACAAAACGAGAATCACCTTCAAAGAAGAACATCCAGGTTAGTAATGTGCTGCTAAGAGGAACTAAGGCCTCTGCCAAATATTTTTTTTGATAGCTCTCTTGGCGCTGTGCTGTGCTCAGAAGAGAGTCAGCTCAGCCGTTTAGGCAAAAATCAATTCTGACAGCCCGTGCAGGTGGCAAAATTCAACTCCGAGGCCCTTGTGTTTACCTTCCCAAGCATCTGAAGCCCACAGGCAGGGGAAGAGTCCATTTCAAGGGGTTACACAGGCAGGGTGCAAGTCTTTTCTGCTCAGGGCAGCCAAGCCTACCCTGGCTTCCCAGGCTCAAGCAACCCCGAGCCCCACTGCCCCCCTTTCCATCCCACCAGCCACCACCTCCATGCAGACCTCAGGATTGCTGCAGTGCAAAGCCCTGGGAGCAAGAACTTGTGTCGTAAGGCAAGAGCACTGATCTTGTGGACACCAGCTTGAGGACTATGAATATACAAGTGACAAACGTGTCAGCTCTTAGCACAGACAGCACGCTGCGTTGTCCTCCCCGTTTCACATGTAGCATTACTCAGAGGAACCAGCATATCGCAGCTACCCACAACAAAAGCAGGATTTCGAAGGACAAATCCATCGCCCTGCTGTGGCTCAGACTGTGGAGTTTAGCCACTGACCTCTAACTAAATGCAGAGGGAAATACAGGGCTCGTGTCTTAAAGCTATTACTATTCACTCATGCTGGCACAGGTCTAAGGACAAGCTCCATCAATGTTTCTCATGCTGTGTAATCCTAATTTCTGGAAGGACTTCTGTGAGCTGGCAGCTCACCACCTTTCTGGGAACCACTTGTCACTGCAGGACAAACGAGGGGATTTGGCACCTTGAGGAGCACGGCGATGGGGAGTTGCACACCCAGCAGACCCAGCGTTGTGGTGGTGCTTTTCTCCCCAACAACATGTCAAGTGCTGCTTGCACACCAGGAATTTGCAGGCAGAGCTGTTCTTGCAACTCTGCACAAGCCCTGCTGTGAAACTAACAGCATGCCACTGAGAAGTCAGGATTTGCCAGTCAGCCCAGTGCCACAGGCTCCCCCTGTACTTAGGGCAGGAAATGCCTGCTGATGATTACACCGTTGTAATGGCAACCACTATAAATTAAAAGAAAGTTTGAACCAAAACCATAGAGCCTTGTTTCTGCCCAGCGGAAGTTTTCTAGACTGTTTCCCAAGACTAACTTTGCATTAGCATCCATCATCTCAGCTTTCCGGCTCTTTTGGGGTACTCCCATTAACATTCATTCTCGTCACACACACGGAAATACATAGCCAAGCCCATTCATACTTACATAGCTTATTACCAGGGCAGCTCTCTTCAAAAACGGCCTTGCAGTGTACAAGAAATTCTGGTTGTTATTTGCAGTCAGGTAGCTGAAACATAAGGAAATGTAGTTTTGAAATACTTTCAAACAATAGCTCATTTTTCAAACTAGAAAAAAGCTGTGCATTCATTTAACCACCCGCAACTACCTTGCTATAATAATCACACCCCTTCTATTCCTCAAAGCCTTTTCCAGGTGAAAATTTCACCTATAAAATAGAGACCACTTGACATAATAATAATATATAAGACACTGCAGTCTCCCCCACAAAATCTGATTTTTATTTTTTAATTACCAGTTAACTCCTTAATCCTCAGGAAAACCCATTCGTCTCACTGAGCTTGCTGTGCTCAGTCTCCCAGAAGAATACACGGAGGCACATTTTTAAAAGGTCAACCAAACACATTCAATTTCAGGCCATGATTAAAATGCAAAAACTCCTTGTTCCCAGCTCACTACTCAGTCTCTAGAGATGGGAAGAACTGTCTAGTACAACTCAACTTACTTCAAGAATTTTTTTTAAAAGTGTATTCTGCATACTTTTTCCATTACAAGCCTACTGACAAGGTGTTATAATAATTAACTGCATAGAGACAAACACACAGGTGGCTTATTGTTATGGGAGTGCTCATGAAAACCTTCCTTCTTCTCAATGAATAAAATTAAACTGTATCTGGAGCCAAAGCTACACATTTCTTTTAACACAGGGTAGAAGCACTCGCCCAATTCCAAGGAGCGTTCTTAATATAACGAACGGTGGCATCCCTATGCCATTAATTCAATGTTTATTCCATTTCTATGGAACTTGATAGAGTTTTTGTCACTGTAATAAAGTGCTGAGAAACAAAAAGAAATACAGAAGAGATGATAAGAATATTTTAAGCAGAGAGGAACTAGAAAACCATTGGAAACTTGACAGATAATTTTAAGAAGTTACAAATAAGAAGTAAACAAAATAAATTCAGAGCCCAAACATTTGCAGGGTCTTCTGTGTAACAAATACTCAGTACCGGGATACTCTATTTAAATGATTTACAAAAATTACAGAATGAATCACACCACCTGCACACACGTTAGGTTTCCAAGTATGACAGCATCATACATTTCCCCTATGAACATCTAGCATATAAACGTATTTCCTTCCCACATTCCTCAGCACAGTTTATCATCTGATTGCTTCCACCCTTCGAGTCTCAGAAGAAAACAGGACCGTAACACTTCCTAATGCCGCCCAGGGTATTTAATATCTGGCTTTTTGTTCACATTTTCTATACTAGGAAGTTTGCAGCCCTGGTCACCATGGAAAGATCGATAAAAAATTGCACTGCGAACAAAGGCAACAGGGGCAAAGCCAGCAAGGAGCAGAGTGAGCATTTAACATCAAGAAAGCAGGACATTTGGGTGCCCTCTACAAAATAGCCCTTCTTTAGAAAACTTTTCACGTCATGCCTAACACTCAGTAACCAGGCCATACATCGTAAGCAAAGCCAAATGACTTTGCATCTTTGGTGTCTACTTATTTCCAAATGTTGACATTTAAGCGCAGGCTCTGACTTAAATGTCAGCTGAGTCTTCAAGGGCTGAACTCTGCAAAGTTTTTTGAGCTCCCACTGACTTCAGTCAGGCTGAAGCAAGTACAAGTGAGATGAAACCAAGTCTTCAGCTTTCCCTCTCCATGAAAGGTCAGGTTGGCCTTCAAGTGTTCACCGTGGCCCTGCTCCAAAACCCACCGCAGCCAAAGGGAAAGGCTCTCGGTGACTTTAATAGCCTTTGGATCAAACCCCTGCTCTTTTGTTCCCATTGGAACCCTTCATGAAACTCAATTCCCTTATGGTTTCCGGCAAGAACAGAAGTGTTAGGTTGCATTTTGTTTATATTTTTGTTGGGTGGAGGGAGGAGAGCCCTCTATTAATCACACTGCCTGGCCCTTTTCATGACAAAGAACCTGTTTTCACTTGCTTGAAGTTTTAACTAGCTGTAACACTTTGGGGAGAAATTTTCCATTACAAATATTTGGTTTAGGTGGAATTATTCTGGAAAAAAAAAAAAAAAAGAGCAGCCCGAACAGTTCAGCTCCCCCCCTCCTAAGACTTCAACTAGAGACAGAGGAGTACTTTTGCCAGTGTTATGAAGTTTGCCAACTTCGTCCCCAAGAAACCGTATCACCTCGCACCAGTGACCTGAAACTGGTGAGGCTGCCATCACCTCCAGGCCATGTGGCCACCACCTCCAGACCAGCCACAGGCCCACGGGAAGCACCCACGGGGAGGTGGAGGACACAGACTTTGCACATGCTGGGCAAGGATCTCACATGCAAGAAATCATTCTCAGTTGGCTCTTTCATCCTTGATGGCACAGCATAGGAACTCCTAACAACATCGTGGTTTTGATTTTTTTTTGTCTGCCTCTATCTCGCACCTTCCTCGCAGCAAGCGTAACACTATCCAGAAGCTACCAAACACAGTTTCAAGGCACGAGTTTATCTGCAAGTCAAAGTTAATCTGAAGTGCTCTGCAGAATTATAGGTAGATCCTTGGGTAGCTCCGGCCACTGCAGAGCAGGACTTTTGAAAGCATTTCAGAGAACCCTCACTGGGCTCTCTCAGTTTGTGTTTGTGGAACAGTAATATCTCCATGAGGAAAAACAAAAAAAAAGAAACCTTTAGGTAGACTGCAAATCACCCCTCTGTGCTGAAGAGCAGATGAGCTGCAAGCAAGCAGGCACCAGAATGCAACCAACGCGTAGGTGGGAACAGGTGAAGCAAGAGAGCTCAGAGAGCCCTTAACTTTCCAATCCATCCTCCAAATGCTTTTGCTACTTTGCAGCTTTGGTTAAGAAATGCTTCTTCCTGTGACAGTTCAACTGAGAAGCTGATTATTCCATTTTCAGGAAGCTCTGAGGTCTGCCTGGGAGCAGGTGGCATTGCTCAGTGCTTGATGTTTGACTGTCTGCCCATTAACTCAGCCTGCACGAGTGCCACAAACGTACGGGTTCCCTCAATGCATCCCAAGCTTTACAAGAACTGTGTGGTTTTCAGAGCACCTTACAGGGCCTACTACTTGGTTGAGGAAAGGTAAGCATGAAAACAGCTGATGTCTGGCGTGGGCAAGGAACAATACTCAGTTTGTGTATTGAAGTCAAATGAACTGCAAAAGGCACCTGGATGTGGACATTTGCTAAATGTCGGGGCACAGAGCATGTGCAACGTACCCATGGTAAATTTAGATGCATTGCAAGCTGCAAATTATGCAGAACTTCCCCCAGACAGCCTTAGGATCAGCTCAAGCTCTTGGTTTTGCCTTCCACTAGGACAAGCAAAGAAATTGCTGTTACAAAAGGCCAACTGTTTCATACCTGTTTAAAACAGCTGCATTGCAGAAAGCCCTTTACAGGTCAGATTTCTGTGCATTTGCTGCCAAATACCCCACTGCTAATGGGAACCGCTCCCTATCACCTGCTCCACCCCGACCCTTGTAACGTGGCTCGCGGTGCCAAAACACACACACAGGTATTCTCACGTGGGAGTGGGCACGGGACATACGGAGCAAAACTGCACTGACGGTAGCTCCACGCAGCAAAACACTACCTCCAGAGCATAAAAGGAGGTGAACATTTCAAGATGTGGCTCTCGCAGATTTTCATGATGAAAAGATAAAGTTAGGGCAAGAAATCCAGATCACCGGGTTCGCTGCCTGGGTGTGAAAAGAGCACGTTTGGACACAGAGGTTCCACCTCTGCTTCACGCCAGCTTCCCCACAGAGCGAACCAGCATGTAGCTGGCTACTAGCTATCATTTAAAAGCCTTTCAGGAATACTCCCTGAAGCAACCAGGATCACAACAAACAATAAATCCAGGGAGCGCTTAATAAAGCGGGGACCTCTCTCACACAGCTCGAACGCGGGCCAAGACAGATCTTTGGCAGCTCCGGCTTCCTGCGAAGCACGGCTCATCCTGACATCAATTCCATCATCGGAGCGCTCGTGGATCTGGTAATTGAAGCCAGCAGGGTAGGTGGCCTAGTAAAACTCAACACCGCACAGTTTACAGCAGTGTAAACTTCGCTGGTACCAGATGGACTCGGTGTTAATCAAAACAAACTTTGCGGAGAAGCAGACAGCTTTTTAATTTGTCTTCGCCGTTGAAGGCACCTAGAGTTTACAGACAAGAGTGGGACAGCTTCTCAGCTGCAGCTAATTGCCATGACACTGCGAGCGATCACAAACCGCTATCAGCAACACATTTATCCCACGCTGGAGCTGACTCAGTTTCGGTGTAAAATGTGAGCTCACTCCTGTGTTCCCTTTGAAAGCTTTCTCGAGGGAGAGAAACAAGCAATTAAGACGTATGGTGGATGCTACCCATTGGGGACATCTAAAAGACCAAACTACACAGGGCTGAACAAGCTTTGGCATTTGGAGATCTTGTTTTGGCCAGGTCCCTCTGCTGCGAAAGGATCATCACTCCCATTTATATTCTTCTCCTTGGGAGGCAGATCCCACTCCCAGCAACCGCCAGTGTTTGAACTAGCCCTTTGGAAACCCCTAATATTAGGGAAGATATTAGAGGAGGAATATAAAGGCAAGGTTTTATACCATGTTTACCTATTCCTAATTCCTGATAAGAGTTAGACACTTCTAATCAAGGCATTTTTCAACTTCGAGGGGAGCTTTTTTAAGTGAATGTCAAAGTTTTAGATAACTGGTGGATGGACATCTCAGCAGTTGGTCAGACTCCCCTTCTGAGAAGGCAGGATTTTTACAGGAGCCACATTTTGTCTATAGAGACCATCCTTACCTTTTCTACATACAGATGACTTCCTTACAATCTGTCTAGCCAACTACATCTTAAATTGGGAAAGGCACTTCTCAGCTTAATTTGGCCTATATTCCTCCTTGAGGAGGACCATAAAGGGTATGTGATAGCCCAGGGAGAAAACAGGAGTGAAAATCTGTTGTGGAATTAAAAATACAAATGAAAAATAAATATACATATATTCTAAACATGTCTGTATTTTTCAATTGTTTAAAAATACCTGTCAACACAGGAAA